TGTAATATTAGAAATGAAAAAAATAAGAAGAAGATGAAGAAGAATAGTAACATTGGAAATGAAAAAATAATAAGAAGATGAAGAAGAATGATAAAATTGGAAATGAAAAAAAAAAGAGAAGAAGATCTGGTAAGATAGTAACATTGGAATGCTAAATGCAAGATTATAAATTGGAAATAACGTGTACTTTAGAAAATAAAAAAAACAGGGGAAAGAAGATTATAGGTAGTCAAGGAACCTCTTTATCCACTATGAGGGTGTAAGTTTGTGGTTCCAATGTTTTGATCTTTTCTCAATAGTGGGTTCTGAACGTTCAGTTCCACTATTGTGAGGGATCTTTTCAGTAACATTACTTCAAATATTAACCATTCATCTCTTTCAATTTTAACATTTAGTACTTTTTTAAATTCAAATATTAATCATTCATCTCTTTCAATTTTACCATTTAGTACCCTTTTTAAAATTCATCTTCCATTTTGTATCTGAAAAATTGGTTTTGCATTTTTTTAATAATATTACATTGTTAGATCGATTAAACTTAGAAGATGATGATATAGAACCTCAATATGAGACAACCTTGACTCATTAGTGTTAAATGTTGAAACTTTAAATTTATATGTTTTGTAGACTAACTTGTGAATTTGTGTCATTTATTTATAAATTTGAATATCTACATATTTGAAAATTTTCTGTTATAGGTTTACATATACATAAATATAAGCATGTATGCCCGGTTTAACCGATATGCGGTTTAATTATTGTACCATTGGTTAAACCATTGTACCACTATATCAGTATTCAGACCGGTTTGATAACCGGTACGATTTTAATAACATTGCTTGGGACATTATATATGTTTTTCCTAAAACTTGAATTTTTAAAGAAATAATGAAGTTTATGGAAGAGCGCTCCCAAATTGTTGATAAGTACCTTGATAGGACAACAACGAGTATATTGACTGGCCACCATGAAATTTGATATCTCTCTATGATGCATGAAAATATCATTGAAATGACAAATATTGCAGCAAAACTTAAGACATTGGAATGAATGTAGATGATAATTTCCTTGTAGAATTTATATTAAATTGATTACAATATGAAATATAAATGAAATGTACAGGAAACCACAATGAAAAACCAATGAAATCTATCCATCATTTATGTTAATTATAAAGGAACTAGAAAGAAAATCGGTAAAAAAACATGGCACGAAAGGGAATGAACCCTTAAAGATTGATGAGGTCTTTTCTTCTCAGATTCACAAGGAACATCATGACAACATATATCGTTAATGTAGAAAGATCACACATTACTAAAGAGATTATCCAAAATGGAAGGATTGGTTTCCAAAGAAGAGATTCTTTATAACCCGAACTACAATACCAAACAAAAAAATTGTCTTAACTTTAAGGGAAATATAGTGATAGTTTCAGTTGAAGTCGTTGATACTTATCGTTTAATCCTTAAAGACCGAACATCATTTAATTTTATTTAAATCTCTTTATGTACCTAATATTTCTAGTAAATTGCTTTCTTTATCTAAACTCGATGTTGTTATGCACACTTTTAATTTTGGTAATGAATTTTTTAGCTTGTATAAATATGTTGATTTGATTATTAATAGCATATTATATGATGAAATATAGATGTTTGATTTTTATAATACTTTTAACCTTATCATAATGTTGAAATTAAGCGTGACTTAATTGTTGAACATTCTTCTAACTTGTTGCCTAAACATTTGGACAAGTTTCCAAAGAAAGAATGAAAAGATTAGTAAAGAATGAAATCCTTCCAAAATTTATATTTTACTAATCTAAATGTATATGTGGATTTTATTAAAGGTAAACAAACAAAACACATAAAGAAGGGAGCAACACGAAGCACAAAACTTCTTGAAATAATACACATAGACATTTGTAGACCTTTTTGATGTTATTACTTTCCACAAGGAATAATGATGCTATATATATTTATTGAATAATTAATATCATGCTAGAAAACCTTTTAGATTTAGTCTAATGAAGTTGAAAGGCAATTAGACAGTTATGTGAAAATTGTCAGGTTTGATCGAGATAGTGAATATTATGGAGGATATGATGAAATTGGAGAACATCCAGGTTAATTTAATAGATTCCTTGAAAGGCGTAGCATAGTGTGTAATACACAGTGTTATGTACACAACAACAAAATGATATATCAAAAAGCCATAATATAACATTGTTGGATATGGTTAGGAATATGTTAAGTAATTTATTTTTACCCATTTCTTTGTGGAAGTATGCTTCAAAAACCACATTGTATTTATTAAATAAGGTTCCTAGTAATATACTTCCAATGACTCCATTTGAAATGTGGACAGGAAGAAAACCTAGTTTAAGACACCTACATGTTTGGAGATGTCCAACATAAATTAGGTTTATAACCATAAGGAAAGAAACTAGATGTAAGAATAATCATTTATTTCATTAGTTTTTGAAAAGATTCAAATTGATGTAGATTTTATTGTCAAACCATAATACAATAATTGTTGAAACCAGGAATGATATCATAGATTCATTGGTAACATACTAATGGTGAAGTTAATAAGAGTGAAACACCACACATAGTGAAAATTCAAGAAGTGAGAGTTCAAGTTCCATTGACTTGTGTCTCTAATAAATTTGTTTATCAAATTATCTAACCAATTAATAATAATGTAGAACAAATGAATGATCCCATAACTCAACAATGAAATTGAAGTTAATGAACTTAGTAGAAGAACCACAATAATTAGCATTAAGAAGATCTTAAAGAGAAAAATGACCTGATATTCTTGATAACTATGTAGTTTACCTACACGAGTCAGAAGTTCACATTAGAATTAAAGTCATCCAATTACGTTTTCAGAAGCTATTCATAATGATGATTTTGTTAAACGATTTAATGCTATGAAAGGCGAGTTAAAATCTATGAAATAAAATGAGGTTTTGGACCTTGTTGAGTTATTAAAGGATGTAAAAAAGTTGTTGTAAGTGGATTTCAAGACCAATCACGACTCTTACAGTAACTTAAAAAATTATAAGGACAACATAATTTCCAAACGATGTACTTAGATGGTAACGTGAACCTCCTTTGGAGATACTTGAAAATGACTGTTATAGCAGAAAACGTGAATGGTGTGGGAACTACAACTATTATATGACCGTTCTAGCTTATATGTTTGGGCATTTATGAGTGAAGTTTGGTAACTAAAAGTATTATGTAAAAAACGTGAATGGTGTGGTTGAATATGGATTAGCTGAATGTAGGAAATGTAATCGTGGATTTTGAATGGTGTCACAATCAAACATGAAACGGTTGGCTGTCACGAAGGGGGATTAGCCTAATGATAAGTTTATGAATCGGTCTAGCTTAGATCCAATGAAAACACTCCTCATAATTTTCACTAAGCAATATTATAATAAAAAATATTCAATTTGTAATAATTCAGAAAATTGATCTACATATAAAGGGCAACTCCCTAGAAGATGACATAATCCCCATAATAAATTGAAAATATAGTTCAAGAAAACAATAAATGGTGTGTCCCCCACTAAGTCCTTTGGAGCAAGGAAGAAGCAAACCTTTGAAAGGTTATACAATTCATATTGAAAATGTGGGTTTACCCTAAAAGAGTCTAGAATCACTTATTTGAAAAGGAAAATTACAATTATTCAGAAAAATCCAATCTTAGGTCATGAGTCTCTCCCACAGACAAGAACACGATCATATCAGCCTAGGTCCACCAATTGTTCAATGCAATGACTACACTTGACTCCAAGTCATCTTTTATTTTATATTGGGCTTCGTCTAGGGTGCTATAACTTGTCATAATGCTTTTTTTGACTCATCTTGTTCTTGCCCTTGTCATAGATCCTCCTAGCCTTGGTGTTTCATGTCATTGTCCATATCCACATCACCACCTCTTTCTTGGGGAGGATTTGTCCCAATGTTACGCGACTTCTTTTGGAGTCGTCACCATGTCTTTTGTGGTTAAAACATGGAAAACTCAATTTAAGCCCAAATTGGATAAAAATGGTCTTTTTAATCAGAGATATGGATTCGAAAGTCGATTACGGATTGAGGAAGGTATTGACACCCTGTCTGCCTATATTAAAATGGTACTCTCGCTAATAACATAGACTTTTTATACATTTAAAAATTATTTATTAACATTTAGTAACTAAACCAAAATGTTTTATTTTTTGTATTTGCATCTGACAAGAGTTAATCTTGCTCTTACGTATCCCTAAATGTTTTAGGAAATCAAGACTACGTAGTTCTAATTTGAAAATTGGTTGATATTGGTTTATTTGATTAAAAAAAGGATTTTATCCACTTTAAGAAAAGATGAAGCAGCAAAAGCTAATGTCCGCACCGCATCAAAACTTAAAGAGGTTTTAAAATAATTAAGATGTTTTTGAAATATAATTAAAATTCAATCATTTTAAGATAAATGAAGAAGTAGAAGCTAATGTCCACACATCATCTAAACTTAAAGAGGTTTTAAAATAATTAGGACATAGTTGAAATTCCATCATCTTTAAGACAGTTGGACCAGCAGAAACTAATGTCCATATTGCATCAAACCTTAAAGGAGTTTTAAAATAATAAAGGTATAGCTGAAAGATATTTTTTATTATTATAAAGGACTTGTTATTAAAAGATCAAAATTATTTTTGATTTGGTTATATTGTAAATGACTAAGTTTAGGTACCCATTTTTTATAAATTCGAACACATTAAGAGAAATAGAATGAATTTAGTGAATTTTATATTAGCATGATGGTATAACTTTTTTAACATGGAATAATAAAATAAAACGGTTAAAATTACAATTAATGCAAAAACTATATAATAATTATTAATGAGTAAATAAATAAAACATGCATAATGAAATAGAAATAAAAAATAAAACAAACACAAATGAAATAGAAATAAAAAATAAAAATAAATGGTGAAAGGGGTACACCCCCACGTTTTGTGACAGAGAGAAGGGAGAGGGGAATCAAATCCCTAACTCTCTCATTCTTCCCTCAATCTCTCTCGCGCAACTTAAATCTTCGCTGGTGTCGACTAAGGCAAAGGAGCAGTGGCGTTGGCACACTAAGAGGGTCGTTTATGGCCAAAACCGAGATGGTCTAGGAGGTGCAACGACGGTGAATCGTTATAGCCACCGTCCTGTTTCGTTAGCTTGCAACCAAGAGCATAATGACTCTAGTTCGTGGGGGTGAGGGAAGACGACGAATCCCCTTTTACAATGGTGGTTACCGGTTGACTTCGGTTTGAGATGCAAAGGAAACATTGGTTAAAGGTATACTTCTTCATTTTTACTCATCACTCAATATCCATGATTCCTCTTTTCGTTTTTATCTCTTACTGAGTGTATGTTTTCCACTCTTTGCCTCTTGAGTACTGATTCTATGTTCTTGTGTATCTCTTTCTGTTTTGGGCTGCCTCTATTATAAGATTTCTCTCGTCTACGTATACTATGGTGCTACTAATGTCTCTATGTTTTCAAAATTCCCTTGTATATCCTTCATTCTGGTTTCTGCCTCCTTTTTATAATACTTGGGACTCCCCTCCATATTTGTAATTCTTTTTAATTGCCAATCAAAATTTAATGTTCCCTTTTATGTTATGCTAATTACTTCTTATTAATGCTGATTATCACCTTAATGATGCTCATTATTGCTGCCTAATTATTTTGAATCTACCATGATCCTTAATCTGCATACTCTTAGCGCCATCTTTTGGAATTATGATGATTAATGTTTGTTGATTTATTGTATTAAATGCATTTATTGAGTGCTGATTTTTGGGAATCCTGCTTGATTGCCTTTACTATCTTGTTGCTGATTTGATTTTATTTCCCTTTCAGTGGCTAAACGTGGTCTACCATTATAGAAAAAGGGAATGACACATGGAGAATATGAGATAATCCTCCATTAAAACGTTGGCTGAAGTTAAGGGAGAGATTTACCTCTTTTAAGTGATTGAATGTATCCCCTTTAAGGCAAATGCAACAAGGTTGTATAATGCTATAAATTGGAATGTAATTTATTACCAAATGTTATACAATTAATTAATATTTTTAATTCTAGCATATGACAAAAGTTGTAACACAACTAATTTTTTTAAAATTGTGTAATTGGTGCAGAAATACTTGATATTGTTGTTTATTTATTTGGGAAGGTATTTTGGGTCAGACAATATTGGCTACTCACAGCTGCCCCTCTTTACTTGTTGTTCATGTGATAGCATACAAACCGAAGTTTGAGTGTTGTAGTAATAAACAACTAGTAAAGAAATGAGTGCTAATTTTGACGATGCGCAAAAAAACCTTTTTGTTGACAAAGCGGGAGTAGGTACAAGCCTCCCAAAAAATTAAAAAAACTTTCCTAAAAATGCCAAGCACGAGGCCTAGAAAGAATGAGTTCGAGGCCGTCAAACACGGGTCCTCGAAGGCACGAATTGAGATCGTTAAGCATGGGGTTCTCAAGGAAGGGTGAAATCCTGTGCTATACTGAAGGATTCTCGCCTGAGCGAGAATTGTCTCGCTTGAGCGAGAGTGGTCTCGCCTGAGCGAGAGTTGTCTCGCCTGGGCGAGAAATGACATTTTACAACCTGTCGAGGCAGTGAGATTCTCGCTTGAGCGAGATGGTCAGATCTGAGTTTTTAAAATGGGCGGGATTTTCTCGCTTGAGCGAGAATTGACTCACTTGAGCGAGAACCCGACGCTGTTGCATTTATTAGGGACCCCCAAACACATTTTTTGGGGATAACCTAGAGAGAAGTGAAGGAAGGAAGAGTTTTCAAGAGTAAGGAGTCTTGGGAATCATCTAAGAGCTTGAGAAGAGGTAAAACTCTTGATTCTAACTCTCTTCTTCCCTTTGAAACTCATTTAGGGTATGGTGGATCTCTTCTCAAAATGTGAGAAATTATGGAAACTCATCCTTTTGAGTTATGGTTCGTTTTATGTTGTTTTTCTTTTGTAAACTCTTGGTTTAGAGTTAGTATTTCAAGAATGGAAATGATTTGTGGGTTGATTCATGAAAACCCCAAAACCCTAAAATGAAAATGTGGTTAAAGAGGGAAATGGGTAAAATGTTAGATGTAGAAGATGAGTATGCACTCTAATGTTGAAATATGAGATGAATATGTATGTTTTAGGTATTTGTAAACTTAAAGTAGTTTAGAAACATTGAAAATGTGTTAAATCTCTTGTATGTTGAAAGATGCAATATGAGTTATTTATGTGTTATTTGGAATAAATGACTAACATTGTGTTATATGGTGGGAATGAGGAAAGATCCTAAAGTTGGAGGCGGTGTCGGTGGAACTTGTGAAGTTACCAAGAATCAAACCCAACACTTACCGAGGTAAGGATAAGTCTTTAACTTATGCATTGCAATAGAAAATGTGTGGATTTTCTGGTTGTGGTTAATGATCAAGTTGTGAACCACTTATTTATTAGAAACATATATGGGTATGTTTGTAATAATGGTTGCGTGGATTTACTGTTTATGGATTGATGGTGTATCAATGAAAATAAAACTTGTTTTAGCTGACCATGATTGGTTAGCGACTTCGGCTCAAGTAATGTAACAAGCTTTGGCTCAAGTGATGTAGCAAGCTTTGGCTCAAGCGATGTAGCAAGCTTTGGTTCAAGCGATGTAGCAAGCTTTGGCTCAAGCGATGTAGCAAGCTTTGGCTCAAGCGATGTAGTAAGCTTTCGCTCAAGCGATGTGGCACGCTTTTGCTCAAGTGATGTAGCAAACTTTGGCTCAAGTTATGTAGCATGGTTTTCAAAAAGTATAAACGATGGAAATGATTTTAAGTATATTTAACTCTGATTTGTTTACTTAATCGTATTAAAATGTGGATTAATGTATATTGGTATTTATTGAGTTAACGACTTACTCCTTTGTGTTTTCTGTGAATTGTCAATGTTAATCCCATTGCAGGTAGGTGGAAGATTTAAGGATGACTTGGTTAGGAGCTTGAGGCTTTTAGTTTTTTTGAAGTCCTTATCTTCATTGTTTTGAATTTTAACTGATTGTATTTTGTACATGAATATTTGTAACTCTGGATATTTGTAGTTATGGGTATTTTTGAATCCCATAGCTAGTTGTATGCGGTAGTTACCGGGATGCATTAATGAATTATAATTTTATGCTAATCGAATGTGTATGTTGTTTTTGGACTTATGAAATGAGTATGAGCAGGCAAGTGGGGTTTAGAATAAGTTATTGAAAATTGATTTAAAAGTTATAGGAATTGCATGAAAAAAGAGTAAAATAAGGAAAAAATTTCAAGGGTAGATTTTTGGGTCCTTACAAGCACGACCCCCTCAAAATTATGGTTTTAATAAAACAGTCAGGCATGAGGTCTGGAAAGAATGACTTCGATGTCGTCAAGCACGGGGTCATCGAAGGCATAGATTGAGGTCGTCAAGCACGGACCCTCAATCCTATAATTTTGAAGTCGTCAAGCACAGACCCCTCAAAATTATGGTTTTAATAAAACAGTCAGACACAGAGTTTGGAAAGAATGACTTCGAGGTCGTCAAGCACGGGGTCCTCGAAGGCACGGATTGAGGTCTTCAAGCATGGGCCCCTCAATCCTATAAATTTGAGGTCGTTAAGCACGACCCCCTCAAAATTATGGTTTTAATAAAACATTCAGGCACGGAGTCCGGAAAGAATGTCTTCGTGGTCGTCAAGCACGGGGTCCTCAAAGGCACGAATTGAGGTTGTCATGCACGAGCCCCTCAAAATTATGGTTTTAATAAAATGGTCAGACACGGAGCATGGAAAGAATGACTTCGAGGCCATCAAGCACGAGGTCATCGAAGGCACAGATTGAGGTCGTCAAGCATGGGGTCCTCAATACTATTATTTTGAGGTCATCAAGCACAAGCCCTTCAAAATTATGGTTTTAATAAAACAGTCAAGCACGAAGCCGGGAAAGAATGACTTCGAGGTCATCAAGCACAGGGTCCTCGAAGGCACGAATTGAGGTCGTCAAGCATGGGACACTCAATCCTATAATTTTGAGGTCGTCAAGCACGAACCCCTCAAAATTATGGTTTTAATAAAACAGTCAAGCACGGAGCCTGAAAAGAATGACTTCGAGGTCGTCAAGCACGGGGTTCTCGAAGGTTATAGTTTAAAATCTTTTCTGGTGGGATATGGGATATATGGGGTTCATGTTGATGTTGGTACTGTATGCATTGAGTAATATGAGTGTGCATAATGATATATGACATGTAGTTGATGTTTAATGTAAGAGAATTTTAGGGATATTGTTGTTCGAATGCTTGCGTATGCAGTGTCACGAATGTTCATGGTGATTATAGTTTGATGCATGAATGTGATTATGCTTTGATTTACATGGTGATGTATGGTGATGTTTATGATGCATGTAACTCAAATGAATGATATTATGATTAATGTGAATATGCAAAGATTTGAATATGAATATTTTTTTATGTACGTATGTCATGTATGGTATGAGTATTAGATGTTTGTTTGAATGAAATGCAAATATTATAATGTATCACTCCTAGATGAAATCCATCAACTTTTATGGTCTCGACTGAAGCGACCTTTGTTGTTTGATTGGTGTTATAGCTTTTCATCCATCAAATCATAGCCCAATTTACTTGAAGAAGTGTTTCTCATAAGGTGGTCCATAAACTTCCCAGTGTAATATTGAGGATAATGAATTAACCCAACTATTTCGCCTTAGTGTAGGATGTCTCAGGAATTCTTCCCAAAGTGTTGATGTTTTTGCGAAAAAATTGCCCCAATATATACCTTTTCTAAACTCTTGTCTTCGTCAAGATGGTTATTTATTCATAAGGTTGTCCCAATTTGGGTGATTTAAGATGTGGGGTAGTAATTTAACCTTGAGGGAGTTCATTTGATTTTCCTTAATTTTTGTCCAGAATACCTTTTGTAGGCATCTGTAAAAAATTCTCACATTATATTATGATTTTAAGTAGCCTTTGTAGGTTTTCGACTTAGAACTACTATTCTTTTCTACGTTGTCCATGTGAGGTTTTCAACCTAACACTCTTTTTGTTTTGTTTTGTCTTTGATTTCTTTTTTTTTCTTTGTTTTTTTTCTTTTCAATATGGTGATCTTAGTTTTTAAGATATTTCCCCTTTATGGTTGAAGTATTTTGGTTTCTTATGATCAAATCAATGTATAGAATCATGAGAGGCCATTTCATCACTACCCCAACTTTGCACTTTTGCAAATTTCCACAAGAAAATGGGACCCAACCAAAAACTGCCCCATTTTGGGGCTTCTCAGGGCTTTCCACTAGGAAACATGATCACCAAATTATTGCCCCCAATGTGTGATATTGATAATCATTATTTTCTTCAAATTGTGTTGGTGGACTTGAACTAGAAGGCCCTATCTAACACCCTAAATTTGAGTCTTTAAAATTATAGTATCAGTCCTGGGATTCTCGCTTGAGCGAGGGATTCTCGCCTAGGCGAGAGAGGTTCACCTGGGAGGGTGAAATCCTGGGCTATACTGATGGATTCTCGCCTGAGCGAGAGTTAGCTCACTTGAGCGAGAAAAATGACAATTTGGACCTGTCGAGGCTGTAAGATTCTCGCCTGGGCGAGAGTTCCCTCGCCTGGGCGAGAGAGTCAGATCTGAGTTTTTAAGATGGGCGGGATTTTCTCGCTTGAGCGAGAATGAGCTCGCTTAAGCGAGAACCCGACGAGTTGCATTAAATGAGAAACCCCCAAACACATTTTAGGGTTAAGAAAAGAAGAGAGGTGAGAGAAGAGAGCTTTTCCAAGGGCAAGAAGCTTCAATACTCATCCAAGAGCTTGAAAAGAGGTAAAAACTCTTGATTCTAACTCTTCTTCTCTTTGGAACTCTTGTTGGGTATGTGGGATCTCTTCTCAAAATGAGAGAAACCATGGAAACTCACCCTTTTGAGTTACGGTTCGTTTTATGTTATTTTATCTTGTAAACTCTTGGTATAGAGTTAGTATTTCAAGAAAGGAGAGAGTTTGTGGGTTGATTCATGAAAACCCCAAAACCCTAAAGTGAGAATGTGGTTAAAGAAGAAAATGGGTAAAGTGCTAGTGGAAGAAGATGAAGAAGCTTTCTAATGTTGAAATATGA